TCTACCCTCATCCCCAGCCTCATTTCAACGAGAACACCTTTACTCTTGGCTGTCTAACATGTAAGAGTTGGCACAGAATTTTACTGAGGATAATAAGAGGCCGTAGTTCTAAAGATATAAAAATTGACAGTCACCCAGGGTAGAGAAAAGCCTACAAGCTTTGGAACCGGAGAGCGAGTGTGAGCTCTCCCTCTGCTACCACCAGCCTCTCCTTCGTCTCTTAGACTCTCCAAGTCACTTAGTCTCTCTTCCTAGAGACTGTCTAGAAAATGGGGCTAAATCTCACTTTGTAGGGTTATTGTGATGATGAGTAGAAATATATGTAAAATGCCGAGCACAGCATGGGACACATAGAAGCTACTAGATAGCAAGGTGCCATTTGTATTTGCGTCGTTACTGAAAAAAATTAGGTGTCCAGCTGAGTGTGTGTCTGTATTGTCATTTTCAAGTACGAAGGTTAGAATATTCTACTACGACTGAGCTTTTTTATTTTGGGTTAACTTCAATTTTATTCGGGTCTGGAGTCATGTTAATTAATATGCCGGGTTAGATGGTATATAATTCATTTAAGCTAAAATGGAATTGAAAGGAGAGGAGCATTGCTAATCCTATGACTCAGTCTCTTGGGGGGACCAATATTCACTGGCTGCTTCTATTTTTTGTTTATGTTCTGTAAGAAACAGCTAATTTTAGAGTAGTGAGACGCAGTTAATTTTAGAGTATAGTTTCAAACCTCTCAAGTATCACGAAACACTCTGATCTGTTGTGCTCATCTTTGGGCTCTCAGCACCAAGCCCTGTGCCTGATGTGGAAGAGGTGTTGTGCAGCTCTGGCTGGGATGCAGACTAGGGCCTGGGGTGGAAGCAGTGAGAAGTAGCTGCCTTGCCGTGGTTACACATTAGCGATGAGGGCAGGAGCTGCTGGCCCAGGGATACAAGGCCTTATTGGATGAAACACATTGCATAGAAAATTGGTACCAAAATACGTAGCTCTGGAGGAGTAAATCAAAATTGCCAGCGAGAACTTAGGGAACCGGACACAGAGCTCTGGCTAATACAGTATTTCACTGACAAAAGTGACCTTAGGAAACCATCAACAAAACAAAAAGACAAACTGTGGAATGGGAGAAAATATTTGCAAATGATGAAAGCAACAAGGGGTTAATCTCCAAAATACACAAACAGCTCATACAACGTAATATCAAAAACCAAACAATCCAGTCAAAAAATAGGCAGAAGACCTAAATAGACATTTCTCCAAAGAAGACATACAGATGGCCAAGAGGCACATGAAAAGATGCTCAACATGGCTAATGATTAGAGAAACGCAAATCAAAACTACAATGAGGTATCAGCTCACATGGGTCAGAATGGCCATCATCAAAAAGTCTACAAATAACAAATGCTAGAGAGGGTGTGAAGAAAAGGGAACCTTTCTACACTGTTGGTGGGAATGTAAATCGGTGCAGCCACCATGGTGAACAATAGGGAAGTTCCTTAAAAAACTAAAAATAGAGCTACCATACAATCCAGCAATCCCACTCCTGGGCATATATCCGGAAAAGATGAAAACTCTAACTAAAAACGATACATGCACCCCAATGTTCATAGCAGCACTGTTTACAAAAGCTAAGACATGGAAACAACCCAAATGCCCATCAACAGATGACTGGTTTAAGAAGATGTGGTATATATATATATATATATAATGGAATATTACTCGGCCATAAAAAGAATGAAATACTGCCATTTGCAGCAACATGGATGGACCTAGAGATTGTCATACTAAGTGGAATCGGTTAGAGAAAGACAAATACTGTATGATATCACTTGTAAGTGGAATCTAAAAATAATAAAATGAATCTAATATATACAAAACAGAAACAGACTCACAGACATAGAAAACAAACTTTGGGGAAAGGGGAAAGCAAGCGGGGGCCGGGGGGATAAATTAGGAGTATGGGAATAACAGATACAAACTACTATACATAAAATAGATAAGCAACAAGGATTTGCTATGCAGAACAGGGAACTACATTTACTATCTTGTAATAACCTATAATAGAAAGTAATCTGACAAATATATAGAACTGGATCACTTTGCTATCCACCTGAAACTAACACAATATTGTAAATAAACCACTTTAAGTGGGCTTAGAAGAGGGAAGGTCGACGCTCCATCCTGACTTCTGGGGCAGGGGGTTAGGGAAGCAGGTCGAGCGCCCGGTCAGGACCTGGGGACAGCGCGGCCCAGCACAAGGACTGAGGGAGCGGGAGGTCGATAAAGGGCTTGGGCTCTTGTTGCCTACGTGATACTTTTCCTCTTCAGTGAAATGTTGACAATCAAGCCTACTTTGAGGGGTAAGGTATGGGGAGTGAGGGAAGTCATTCACATAAAGTTATCTTTTAAAATATAAATCCGATCACGCCATCCCCCCTACTGGAACCCATTCAGTGGCGTCCCTTTGTACAGAAAATGAAACCCAGCTCGTTTCACCGTCCTGCAAGGTCTTCGTGACTTGGCCGCTGCCCATCTTCCCAGCTTCATCTCAGACCACACTCCCCTGTTCGCTCAGCTCCAGCCACACTGACCATTTCTCCATCCAAGGAGGTATTTTTGTCCCCCGAGCCTGCATTTGCTACACTGCCTGGTCGGCTCTGTCCCAGGCTCCCTGTGTCCTGCAAGCTCCTGTCTTCCCTTGCTCTCAGCTCCAGGGTCATATCTTCAAAGAGGAGTCAGCAGACCACCCTATCAGATGCCTTCCTTGATTTCCCAGAAGGCTTCAATTCACAAAGATCTTGGTCATTCATTAACTTATGTTTTCACTAGTGGTCTCCCCGGACTGAAGAGAAAGTTCTTTAAGTGCAGAGGACGCATCTGCCAGTTCTCCACTGTGTCCTCCGAGCCTGGCCCAGCGCTCAGCACAGACCACATGCCCAGGGAAATTCACCAAATGAACACATGAACGAGTGAACGGAGAAGATGGAGCTCGGCTGTCACACTGTGGTTGCCTGGATTGGTGACTGTTATTACCATGTAGCATTTTATGATTGCACTTTAGATCTTTAGATCTTTCAGAATAGGGAAATAATTTATAACATACTAAAAAAAGTATAACAGAAAAATATATGTGTAAACATGAATGGCTGCTATTTTCCTTGTGATAATTTTAAATGGAAAAGCAATGGATTTTTATATATGTTTCTGTGTGCAATCAGCGGATAGGCTGGTAAATTTTCTGCACGTGTCTGCAAGGTTATACTGCAAATACCCCATTCACATACAACATCAGAACGCCATTTTTCTAACCTGGAGAGGGTGTTTATAACTATTCTTCATTTTGTATACATACAATAGATAGTTGTACATAAATAGACATTCAACAGCTCCAGCAAAATTCCGGCTGCCAAAGAGAAGAAAAACGTCAGAGTAAGCTATAAAGAAAAGTGCTTGTTTTTTTTAAATGTAGAAATGGCAATTCGCAGCATTTATACAAATTGCCGTACACTGAGGGTTGCAACTCTGAGAATGAATAGTAAGAAAAGTTGCAGCTAAGAGCAAATCTGAGGACACTTGTTTTGAAAGTAAAGCTTAGTCAGTATTACAGCATTCTGGCAATCTGCATAACATTAACCAGAGTGCTTTGTATTGGGACTGACACTTCATGTATTGATTTTCTCATATGTAAAATGTTCTGACTAAAACTTCCATTTAAAATGCTCAAGAAGAAATTTATCTTGGATGAAATAAGAATAATTCATATGCCCCCTTACATCTTGGGCATATTAAACTGAATAATACCAAGTAACTATACAACCCAATTGTTGGATGGATCTAATATTTTGCACCTTGTTTTTTTGCTATAATTTTACATACATGCTGTGAATTCTATAAATATACAGAAATGTGTGACGGTATCAGCAGAAAATATAAACAGCTTCAAAAGGAGTTAGAAAAATTAGAAAGTGTGAGATCCATAGTGGGATAGTACAGATGAGCTAGGAATTTTAAGGTTAAATAATAGATATTAAGTTTTCCCACAATGTCATACCTTAGAAGTTGAATGCAAAGTTGCATTAGACCAACAGTGTACTGAAATTTCTTATGCGTTTGTATTCTGTGCTCCTTTTTCTTCTCTGTATCATATATTCATTATATGTTTTCCCCAAGAAAAACTAAATTATATAATTAGAGTTGTTGGAAGGGGGATGGATATTTGTGGATAAAACAGAAAGTATTTTTCACGGGTGAATGGAATGAAGTCCAGAGCCCCACCCACACTGAGCCGGGTACCATACACATCTGGACTGAAGATGCCACAGTGTCCAGTCCTCACAGCTTCAGCCCTGTCTCTGAGGTTACCTGCCTGAGAAATCTATAAAAGGAAATACAGCTTTAATAATCCAACACCAAACAGAGTTAACTCTTGAGTCTTTATACCAGCAAGGGCTCGTTATTTGAGACATTCTAAAGCATAAACTATTTTAGTGGTGTTTTCATTTTCAAATGAAATGATGCATTTTTTTCATTTGTTTGTTTGTTTTGGTAGGCTTACATTCTGATGATGTTGTAATAAGGCTAGGATTAAAGACAGCTGGCATCTCCTCAGCAAAGACCAATGGGATGGGGTCAGGGTGGAGGGCAATTTAAGCGTGGAACATGGTGAAACAGAAAGTTGGTTAGGGATTAAGAATGTACTGTGACTAACCCCCCAAATCAGTAATCGACAGGTGGGCAATAGTACACAAAAGGATGGATGGAACGACACCAGAGGATGTTGTTCTGGTCCTCTAGGTATGAGCAAATATTTTCATAACATATAGCTTTGTTTAGGATTTACTTTTTCTTTTTTTTGTTTAGGATTTTTGTTTAGGATTTACTTTTTCAGCAAAGGAGACTGTGCAGAAATGCTAAAGTAATCTTTTATGCTTTCACATGACCACCAGAGTCTGCAATGAGATGGCCACAATCCGTCCCAATACCACATGGTTGCATGTTACCTTGGATACCAGGCTGGCTCTGTATGCTGCTAGTTGTTTCAGGTACTCCTTCTTTGCAGCCTCTGTTTTCTTTTTATAGACCTGTAACAACAGAGAGTCTGAAATTAGAAAGCGCATCTGCTTTTGTTTCCAGAGAAGTACAATGCAGAATGATAACTGTGTGTGCTCGCACACATGCACACTCACACACACATAATAACACACATCTCCCCAAAGATCGTGCTTTCTTACTGAAACAAGTTTTTAAGAAGTATGGCAAGAGATTAGATAAGAAAAAGATTAACTATAGTAAAAGTTTCCATTTTCCATAAAGCATATGTACCGATTTATCTGGGGTACTTTGACAGTGGAGGTAGTTGGCTTAGAAAGATACTATTGATGAAGGTTCCCGGGGAAAGAAACTACATGTGAATAAAGAAGTCATTCATATTTACACAATGGGCAGATAATTCTACAGTGCATTCAAATCCCGATATATATTCTCCTTGCTAAATATAAAAACAAGGACAGAATTAAAAGATGATCAATTATGTTCAATATGTTAATCAAAGAAACAGTTATGGAGTTCGCAGGTTCATCACTATTTTAAAATTTTGTGTCTTGAAGTTCTATTCTCAAAGACTCAGGAGTTGGCAGTGGCAGTCAAAGTCACATTTGGGAGTGGGCTGGGGACCCTGAGTGGCCGAGTGGTCATGCCCTTTCCAACAAAAACACTGGATGGCATGAGTGTGTGGAAGCCTCAGTGTGAAAAGGTAAAAATGTTCAGAATTGAATTTCAGTTTACAGAAGCTTTTCATTTTTCATAGGGGATCATTTCGCAAATACAAGGAAAATCATCCTAAAGTGAGCAAAAGTACCAAAAAATGGCTTGCTGGTAGGCTAAAGGTCACATTGCTAAGCTAAACAGAAAAAAAGTCATTAGAGTCAAAAATGAAAGATTAGCAAAATGAATACACACGGTTGTCTGCTACCATTAAGCCCATTCTTTCAAGGCTTTAGAGTCTGTTTTTGTCAATCTTTTGAAATCACCCCTAAAGAATAAAATATTTTTCACCATTGGATGTATTTTCATCGATGTGACTAGTTTAAATTTCTCACATCTTGAATTTTACAGCAGGGAATGAGGCTTGCTTGGCTAGTGTTTTGTAATGCTGAGCTCAAAACCAGACACAGCTCAGTGTGAAAAGTGGCTTTGGAATTAGTGAAAATAGTTAAATATAAATTATGTCTAAAGACCAAGTATCTGCCAAAGTCGGCAGCAGAGGTCAGTTTACGGTTTCTGATGTGGAAGGTGGTTTGCTGAGCCCAGTCCCCAGCTGTGAAATTCAAGGTGTGAGAAATATTACTTACTTATGAATATTTTAATTAAAGCAGAACATTTTATTTAAGGTAAACAAATGAGTAACCTTGTCAGCAGAATTATAAAGGACCCTATGAAATGCAAGTGCTAATTTAAGGAGCTCTTCAGCCTAGTCTTTTATATTTGGCATTTTGGTATATTAAAGGCAATCATAATAAGGCGATTAAGAATTTGTGCAACAGTATCATACAATCATTGTGTCATCTTTACAATATATGGAACTAAAGAAACTTAAAAGAAATTTTTTAGTAAAAAGCCGAATCAATCCTTTGGTTCAATTACAAGAGAACTCTTAATTTACGGAGCTAATCATTGGAAATAAAATTCAAATCCTTTTTTAGACGTTCAAACATGAAAACAAATAAACACTAGATTACAGCAAATGTCTTTGAACAGCATGATTCATGTGTATTACATGCTTTGGTCACAGCCACAATCAGAAACACAGAGCCCTCCTGCTTTTTATTGATTTCTTTCTTTCTCCAAAGACAGATTTCTGTTTGTAGTTCTTTCTCCCTCCAATCTCTTCTCCAAGACATAATTTGTAATTAATGACCTTACACTGAAAATGTTTCCGTTTACTTTTAATACCTTAAAACTGTTTGGAGAGGGTTCTTCTCTCACACAGACAGAAATCCTATTCAGGACTTTGAAGCAAGTATTTAGCAAAAATATCTTTGATGGTAGTATGCTTTTGTATACTAGAAGCATTTCTATCATGTTTTTTATTCATATGCTACTCTAAGTGACCCCCTGGGCAGCTAACTAGGGTTCATTTAGCTTCCAAAGGCAAATATTACACACTTGGGTCCATAGCATTGCCCTAAGCATCATTTTCTAAGTGGCACAGATAAGACGGTGTTGCAAGATGGCCAGATTGTAACATCTATCCTCTTTCTTGCATTTGGTTTCTACTGAAACAAGCAACAGTGTGTTACTATGGTGGGGCCCCCAGGGGTTAACGCCCCACAAGGTGTTAACTTCCCTAAAATTTGTTGGTTAACAACCATGGGAGAAAGGTGGTAACTCAATGTGTTTTAGGCTGAATGTGTGCCCCCTGGTTTCACTGGGAGATCGATGTTGTTACGGGATACCTGACCAGCATTCAGAGTGCCCTGTTTCCTCCAAATGGCTCCCTATTGTCTACTCATGATTGGCTATGTGAGATCATTGTACAAGCGCCTAAATACCGCTTTAGAAAAGGGTAAACTCATCACGTCACACTACACGGATTGATGGGTCCGCTCTTTCCTGAACAGACGCAGGTGTTCAGAGGGAGGATGCAAAGGGTGGTAATTTCAGGAGGTATATTTCTGTAATTGTGTTTAAAGGGGACGGTACCCTAGATCAGAATTAACATCTGAGGCGGTCTCCCCGATAGTAATTTTGAACCTCCACCTTTGAGAACTAGCTAATGGCTCAAATGTTATTCACCCTGTATGTCTCTATGATGCTACCTTCTAAAATTGCACAAGAATGCTTTCTGAATTCTATATTTGATGGAAATATCTGAAGGAAGACCTCAAATGTATGTGTGAATGATAAAAAAAACATGTAAGAATTCCACATACTTAAATTCCTACTTCAGAACAGATACTTAAAAATCATCAGTAAAAAGATCCTCAAAAACGTTTCAAAGCTCTATTTATGGATGGAGAAATTCTTCTGCTTGCTGAAACCAAAGATGACGCTGGCTGCGTTTGGCAATGAACAGCCCACTGCAGTGATCAAACCTTCTAATCTAGGAGGATAGGTCTGATTTATATCAAAGTTAAGTCTGGGAGAGAAATGGTCTCTCTCTCTCAGGGAAAGACAAATATTTTAAAGAAATGTGATTCACACAGTAAATATTAGTACTCAGTTGAACTACAAAATGGCTTCCAAATGGTCTACAGCTGTTTGAAATAAAGTGCAAAGTTGGCCAGATGAGGATTTAAAAATCATAATACATCATTCATCATTTTCCCCAGCTCATCCAAACACTTTTGAATTCATCCTGTCCTTAGTTATTTGCTGTGGTTTGTTATTCTAAGAAAGCTACCATATCCTATCTAAGGATCGCATCTCAGTGGTTAAACTAAAACATATATAATGGCTAAACTAAAACATACATCAAATAGCAATTCTAGAGAATCCAAATTCTGTTCATGTAATCTAGTGATTCTGCGAATCATTTTTTAAATGCTCTACGCTCCAGCATGTGTAATATATATGTCTTATAGGCTAATAATCTCTAATTAAAACCAGCAGTTCAGTATCAGTGAATACGATGCACAGAAACAGAAAAAATTCTAATACAACCTGTCATTTTGCTTTTTCCACTTTCTGTTCCCTCCCCAAACAATCCATCTAACTTAATACAAAAAAGTAAAATCTTATAAACACCATTTAGTTCCTTCTTCCTTCCCTCTTTTCGGCTCTGGGCCTTAGTTAATCTCTAGTTGTAGTTGATTTCAACTCTTTACAGTAATAATAAGAAAAAACATAATTCTTCCAATTCTGGATTTTATTCAAACACTATAAAACTAGAAGGCGCTTTTCTTTTTTGTTAACTTCAAATGCAGTTTTTTTCCCCCAGTATAAGTTCATATTTATAGAAAATGCTTAGAAACACAGTTATATAAGAAATAATAATTTAATCACAATTCCCTGTCATACACAGTACTTGAGAAATTAATGTCTGCAGTGTCTCTGAATGCTGTTATTATTTAGGAAAGTTAGAGCAAGTGCCTCTGTGTTTTATACAGAACTTAGTCCTTAAATGCAGTTAAATTTCCATTTGTGTAACTTGCTCAGCATTTTCTTAAGCATTCCAGAACTCAGAGAACTTTATAAATTAGTATTCAGAGCACTGAACATATTATACAATGTGTCAAAAATCTTGCTATCGATTCTTCTGGGGATCCATCAAATGCATACAAATCGTCTACACAAAAATGGTGTAACCTGTTTTTGGAACGGTAGGGATCAGAAAGAAGCAAGCTCCCCATCTGAACAAATGGCTGCAAAATATATCTGTAGATTCATTAAATGAGGATGACCGGGGCGAGTATAATGTCCTTTGATTATGCTTAACAGTATATTGAGTATCTATTATGTGCCTTCATGGTGTGAGGAACTGAAGCTACAGAACCAAAAAAAGGCATTAAAAATATGCCTCTAATGTGTGCATTTTTTGTGTCAGGCACACAAGAAATGCAGACAACCCCCCCATATATACATATTATACATATATATATAAAATCAAATTAATCTGGTATCTAAGATCCATCTTTGCATCTTTGTTCATGCAATGGCTCCTCCTGGCTGCATGAGATCTCCCCTTGATGCCTCTCTTAGACCCCCAACTGCAGGGCCTGTCATCTTTTTGTCCACAGCAGAAGCCCCAGCAGGCAGGGCAGAGCTTGGTACATAGTAGGTGCTCAGGAAATACCTGTGATCCAGTGTATAATCCCTAGTCTCAGGTTTCTCCTTCCATGAGTCATCATGGGCATGGGTGTGCATGGTAAAATACCGAATTGCATCTTCTGAATTAGAGTGGCCATCAATAGAAGTAGAGGATTTGATGTACAGACAGACAACCCGCCCACCCCAAACATGTTTACCAATAATACATAAAGCACAGCAGACTTGAGTATTATATTCAAATTCTCTCCCTGCTGATGTCATGGAAGCTTTCAAGTGGAATGTCTGCTCCCTCTGTGTATGAGCGTGGAGTATT